GGGGGGGGGGTCAGGGGGCAGGGAACATGGGCAGCCTGCGACGCACCTGAATCATCAGAGGCATCAGCGAGTAGTCGGAGAAGTAATGGTCCATGTGCTCGGACACCGAGTAGCGCGAGTACTGTGACGACAAAAACCGGCCAATCAGGTCGAAGGGGCCGAATTCCAGGTCCTTGTTGTTCTCGGATCTGTGGGCATGCCCAGGCGGCGGAGGTGGGAGCGCCGACAGGGCGAGGGAGGGGCGTTAGTCGAGCGCCGCACGGCCGGGCACACAGACCAGGGGCTGGAGAGAGGAGGGGGGGGGGGGGGGGGGCACAGCACGCACAGAAGCCGGGCCGAGTCGTAGGTGATGTGGCTGGACAGCCCGGTGGCCTTGGTCTTGAGGGCGAAGGTGGACAGGAGGTTGATCACCTGGCGGATGTCATTGTGTGTCGACGCCACCAGCTGGTCGATGGCGTTCTGCTCGATTTCGAGGCCCTCCCTGTGGAGGTCGACCGGAAGGAGACATGGCGAGTGGGCGGGAGGGGGGGACGGGGGACGGGGGACGATGTCAGCGCCGAGAGGGGGAATCCCCCCCCGCAGGGAGGAGGGCATGGTCGGGACAGGGCCAGCAGGCGCACCTCTGCACGATCTGCCGGATGCGGCTGGAAACCATGGCGGCGCTTGGCCTGTATGCCACGCGGGGCCGGCGGAGGAGGAGGAGGAGGAAAAGGGGGTCAGCTGCCGAAAAGGAAGGGGGGGCGGGCGGGCGGGCGGGCAAACGGGCCGTGAAATGGACGGGCGAGCGCGAGCACGCAAATGCCCACGCGGGTGGCCGCACGCACCGGGCAAAGCGCAGGTGCAGGCAGTGGTTCTGCAGGCTGCGGACCTTGGGGCTGATGGCGTCGTTGCAGATGCAGATGATCGGCACCCGGGAGGCCTTGATCAGCTGGATGAGCTCGCCGCTGCCACCGCGGTCGCCGGCCGACATGCCGTCCACCTCGTCCATGATGTAGAGCACCGGTCGGGGGGCGGCGCCGGCGGCGGCGGCTGCCGGGGCGGCCGTCGCGCTGGGGGCCGACTTGAAGAAGGACCCGATGCCGTGGCTCTGGATGGCCGAGCCGAGCTGCTCGCGCAGGAGGTTCTTGCTGCGCGTGTCGCTGGCATTGAACTCGATGACATCATACCCGCAGGCCTTGGCCACCAGGTGCGCGGCGGTGGTCTTGCCGATGCCGGGCGGGCCGCTGATCAGCACGGCGCGCTGCTGCAGCGAGGCATTCGGATTGGGCGAGTAGCTCCGCAGCCAGGCCATCAGCTGCTGGACATTCTGCTTGTTGCCGACAATGTCATCCATGCTGGTGGGCCGGTACTTGTCGGTCCAGAGGAGCTGCTCGGTTTGGGCCGCGGCGCTGGCGGCCGCCGGGCCCGACCCCACGGCTGGCAGGGGACGGTTGTGTGTGGTCTCGGGCGCGGCCGCGGCCGCGACTGGCGGGTCGGCCGGCCGGCGCATCTGAATCGGCGCCAGCGGGGCCGATGTGGCACCGAAGAAGTTCCCCAGGCGGTTGCTGCCGGGCGGGCTGGCGGTGGCAGCCGGTCCGGCGGGGGCCGGCCCGGCGGGGGCCGTGCTCGGCGTGTCGGCCGCCACCGGCGACCCGGCGGTCGGCGAGGACTCGGCCTTCAGGGCCGGGGTGCTGGCAACCGCGGTGGCCGGAGCCGCCGGTTCGGGGGCCGACTCGCCGGATCGCGTGCGCACCAGGTCCAAGAACTCGTCTTCCGTCAGGGTGGGCACCTTCAGCGACAGGGTCTTGGCCATCTTCGAGGGGCCGGGATTCTCGCCGACCACCACGTAGTTGGTCTTGGAGCTGATCGATGTCCGGACGAAGCTACGAAAGGGGGCCGTGGTGGGGGTGGTGGGGGTGAGCGTCAGGGCTTGGGGGGGGGGGAGAGGGAGGGGATGGGGGGCTGTCGAGCGGCATGCACACATGCTTACGAGTCTGGCCGGGGGAGGGCGGGCCGGGAGGGAGGAGCGGAGGGACGCACCCGCCGCAGCGCTTGACCAGCTGCTCGGCCACCTCGCGATCGGTGGATTCCAGCTCGCCGGTGAAGACAAAGGCAATCCCCTTGAGGCAGTCCGGCGCGCCGGCCGGCACGGGCTTGCTGCCGGGATTGGAGGGCCCGGTCTTCAGGGCCTTATAGGCGTAGTAATTCATGGGGGCACGGGGGGGGGGGGGGCGGCAGAGGGCAGGTGGACGGAGAAAGAGAGCTATCAAATGGGGCGAGGGAGGGGGAGAGAGAAAGGCGGAGAGGGGGGGGGAGGGTGCGGGGGGTGGTGCGTGCCCGCCAGGGCGTCACGGCTGCTTGGCGGCACTTGAGCGAGGCCCCACGAGGCGCGGTGCGGCGGGGGGGGGGAGCAGAGCACGAGGGGGAAGGAGACGATCCGGCCGTGGCGCGGGGACGCGCTGGCACCCGGCAGGGGCAGCGCGACTGGGCGGGGGATTTTAAAAACTAACGACAAATGGCGCGTGACTACCGCGTGACCACGGGCGCCGGGCGCGCTCCTCAGCCGCCAATTGGGATTCGCCATGACATCTGTCTCGCCCCTGCCCGAGGTGTGGTGGGGCGTGTACGGGCAAGCGCGCGCGCGCGCGCGCACGCTCACTCAAGCGCGAGTATGTGCCCGTGCATGCGTGCGCCACACGCTGGCGTGCGTGCCTCTCCGGCCGGTCCTCCGCGAGTGTGTGCGCACGCGAAGGGGCGGGGGGGGGGGGAGGGGGGGGGGCTCAGTTCCCAGGTCCTGCCCTTCGCCTCGGCTGGCAGCACGCGTGCGGCAGCGCCGCGCACCCCCACCAGCGCCGGGTCTCGTTCTCCCTCGACGGCCGCCCCTCGCGCCGGAAAAGTCCCCGGGGAGGAAGGACACCCTAGACGCTAGCGTGAGAACGGCCCGGGCGCCGACGGGGGATTTCCCACAGGGCTGGGCTTTTCATGCGCCCGACCCGCGCCCCCCCCCCCCCCCCGGCAGCGTCCCCTCTGCGCCGGCCCTCCGCCCGGGGGACAGACAGACACACCGAGGGCGGGGGGATCTGTGCCGGAGGATTGGACGCCCGGGGGCCCGGGGAGCCGGGGAGCCGGGACCTGGGCGGGAAATCGGGCATAAATATTGCTCACCAGCAGAGAGCCCCGGCCTGCTCGATCCTTCTCCCGGGAGGGGGTCCCACCAGGGCGATCGTCACCATGTTCGCCTCTGCCCTTCCTGGGGCTGGGGAGGAATGGGCGAAAAGCCCAAACGCACGCACGACCGCCCAAGGATGGCCATTATAGAATACGAGTGCCGGGGCCTGCGCGATTCTCCGTGGCCGGGGGGACGGGGGGATGGTCGGCTGCTGGATTCCAATATCCCCGCCAAAAGGGGCCCGGCGCCCCAGAAAGGCCGTTGACAGATGTTGGCCCGGCGCCTGGCCCTTCATGAGCACAAGCACGAGCACCGAGCACGCCTTGCCCCCTCGTCTGGCTGTGAGACGGCCAGGGGGGAGGACGTCGGTGCGGTGCGGTGCGGTGCGGTGCGGTGCGGTGCGGTGTGCGGACGCGCGGCACCGCAGGTCGCGATCGCGCGCCGGGCCCGGCCCCTCCGCCGCGTCGAGGGAGCCTCACGCAGCGGAGCGCCGGCGAGCCGTGCGAGGGGCCGGAAGGACGCCCGGCCGGAGTCCCCCGCCGGAACCGGGGCTCACCGCCGTCCACACATTGAGGGGGCGGGCATCCAGGTAACCCGCGCGCCCCGGCGCGCCTCGCCAAGGGCGACAGGTCCCCGGGCAACTGTCTCCGGAGTTGGGTGATCTGAGCGCGGGCGCACAGATGCGCCTCCGGCCGCTGGGGCCTTTTTTCCCTTCCTTATCCCCCCCTCGTCCCCCCGGGGGCGGGGGCCGGGGCGGCCGAGGGGTGAACGAGGGGCGAGCAGTGGCGCGTTTCCCTCAAGGGGGGCCCGCGGTCGGAAAGGGGCCGGGTGACACGGTTGATCGGCCGGGTCGCCGGGCCCCAAGCGGTTTTTCCGCCGCTGCCCCCCTGATACATGGCCGATCTGCCACTGCGCGCCGGACAGCGGTCCGGGCAGCTGTGTCTCCGCATGAGCGCGCGCGAACTTGCGTGCTCCCGAGCATACGCACGCCGGCCCGCACGCCCGCACGCCCGCACGCCACTGCCCATGCCTCACACTCCGGGCTCTCGGGCCCGGGGCCTGGGCAACATTTCGTCGCCCCAGCGATTTCGGTCGC